TCATGCCGATCATGTATTTGCATTGCATACATACATGTCGGACGACACACAATAAAAAACGCCACTAAACGCAATAAAGGAAGGAGAGAAAAACAACAGCAGCAACAACGACAACAATGTTGTTGCAACAGCAACTAAATTGCGAATTGCACAAAAAAGAAAAGAAAAAAAGAATGCAAAACATGTCGTCGGGATGTACGCCATGCGACACAACGCGGCGGTTGATCGTTAACGAACAAAAATCTTAGTGTATTTTCACTTCGCCAGGTCTGTCGGTCGATTCGTGTTGTGGACGATCGTCGGTACGCGCACAAAAGGGGCAGCAGAAACATCAAAAGTGTCGGTCATTAACGCCATTAAACCAGTTTTGACATTTTAATTAAACTGCACATGATAATGCGTGCGTTTTTTATTGCGTCACTAAAATTGATCGTAAAACATGTAAAGAAAATATTAAACGTTTCGCGATCGGATCGTCTCTCTTTCTCTGTCGCGTTCGCTGCTTTACATTGTGTGCGCACTGGTACACTTAGAAAAAAGTATAGCTAGCATATGCTAATTAAATAAATATTTATGACATAAGTAGTACAACAACAGGAAGAACTGCAACAACCGTAAAACAGTGGGTTGCATTTGCACAGTTTAGCAAGATGAATGGATAACGGTTCTGCCTTCGAGCAATTTTCAATTAGTTTTCTCAGTGTGATATGCTGACTTTGCCTCGTAGGTGCCTGCATTTGATATACGACAAACGTTTTAATCGCATGAGAAACTTTAATTAGATTCACTGGAATTAGTTAATAAATTTTAATTAGAAGAAATGCTTATTTATGGAACTACGATGAAGTTCATGTTGTTTTTACTAATCAATAGAATTATGTCGTTAACAATTCACTTCCAAAATTAACTACTAAATAACATAAAAATCTCATATTCTATTATTATAAAAAATACTAAACATCTTGCGTTTGGAGTAACTTCTAAAATAGAATAATATGTAGTATCACATATTAACAAAAACTTAATACTCCAGTTATTGGACAAAAGTCTTTGAACACACTATAGAGCAGCTGTCATATGATCAGCAGGCACGGGCTGCTTTCTTGTAACCAACTATAAAATTTGCCACAATATGTTCTATCCTCACCTCCTCCAAGAACTCTTTCACGCATTGTTAGCCGCTTATAATCCTATTGGAATTTCCTGGACATGACGTTTCCTACTCTAAATCACAGCAAGTAAACTAAAAAATCAACCACAAGGTAGTTCCATTTAAGTCAATTCTTAAACAAGCTGTGAATTCCGCTAATTTATTTTTGTGACAATACGCTTCAAGTTAGATTGTGTATATTTTGTGATCGTAGTTTCTTTTTCACATTTAGTGTTCCCAATTCTCCATGGTCATTTCCTTTATAACCTGGTTGAGATCCTAAAGTAACGTGCTAAATTATTAAATTGCCGACAATTACTTTGCTTTTGAATTTTAAAGCACAAACTAGTTATCATCATCGAGTACACAATAGTTGTACGATCTTAAACTCTTTCAATAAGTCCCTTTATTAGCCCGGATTCTAAATAACTTAACAGTTATTAAGAATCTGGAATTTTCATTGGAATTTCCTGGGCATTTAACTTCCAGCTGTAGGTTATATTACCAATAAGAAAGGTGTGCTTGTTTGCAGTGAGCTATAATATACATCTACCATAAGATGATCGATCCCAACCTCCTTCAACTATGTTATTTAGGATTGATAGCGACATTTATCCCGTTGAAAATTCATTGGCGTCAAGATTTCTGCATCTGCTTCTTTACAGCAACATATAAAATCTGCCACAACATGTTCTATCCTAACATTCTTCAAGGAATCCCTTACGGATAACCAGCTGCTGTAATCCTGTTAAAAGTTCTTAAACGTCGAAACTTCCTGGTTTAGTTTATATCGCAAGCAGACTCAAACCGTTACTTTGCAACTAAACATAGAGTTAGCCACAATGTGTTTTTCTCTGAGCAAATTCTCATATAAGCTAGGGACCTGCTCTAGCTACTAAGTCTACTAAGTTACTTTTTGTGACTATATTCGCATTAAATTAGATCGTATATAGTTCGTGATTGCAGCTTCTTTCTCACACATAGGGTTTATAATACTCCGAGCAGGTTTTCTCTAAAACACAACTGAAGGAACAAAGTATGAATTACTGACAAGAAATAATGTCGTTTCCGTACTTGATTACTGTCTTTATGTAAGAATAGCTTGAATGTTATTTTTGAAAATTTTAAATATTTTTTAATATTGAATCAAAAATATTATTTAATAGATTTTTAAAAAAATTTAAAAATAATTATTTACGAATAATTAAATACAATAATTATTTCCAAGACCACTGATGATGGGTATTTGGCAATATTCGAAACAGCTGTATGGTCAGCCAAAAATTCAATTAATTAAAATAATATAAAAAAAATAAAATTTTTGTTGTTGTATTTCACTACTGCTCGATAAAAACCTCTTTATAGATTTTTAATATTTTGTTTAAAGTTTAAATTTTATTTATATGAATAATTGTATAATTAAACAATTCAGTACTTACTATATAAGTATTTAAATTTCAAAAATATTTTTATTGATAATATTCACCATTAACTTTATTAACATTAAATTTATTAGTCTTAATTAACTTTAAAACAAGGTAATAGTCATTATGCTGGTCTTAATTAAGTATATTAAACTTATTAAATTATAAGTAGAATTATTAATTATTAAACAATAAATAATAAAATTTTGTTGTCATTATTCACTACTGTTTGAAGTACCCCTCTCTACTAAAGCAATAGTTTCTCGTCATAATTGACTTGAAATATCAAATTTAAATTTAAAATCAAATTTATAAAAATTAAATAAATTATTAAATTAATATTTAAATATATAAAAATTTATTAATTTTTTATTAAAGCCATCAGGAATGGCCTTAACATTTTTAACGCTTTGCAAATGTAATAGACTTGGTACGGCTTCCGTCCGTTTCCTTTCATTGGTACGCTTGCCATTTGCCATTAAGCGATTAAAAACAAAAACAAAGCATACTTTTCTGCTCGATAGAAAAGAATTTTCGAATGAGAGCAAGCAGAGTGAGTCCCGAGTCCCGAGTTTCAAGTTTAAATCTTTATTTATCTTCTGCTTAGTTGACCTTACCGCTGTGAAAGTGTTTCATTTATTTAATGTACAATTCTCCTAGACATTTTAATGTTTGGACTTTTAGTGCTGGTCCATTTTTTTCTCTATTTATTTTCTTTTTTTTAATTTTCCGAGTAGAAAGTTTGTATCTTTTTTATGGTCTTTTATAAAGTGCGGATATAAGCACAAATTTTTTATTTCTATGTTTATACTTGTACTCTCGTCCATTTCAGTGTTTGCTGGTCTTTAATCTTTCGATTCAATGCAGTTTAAGCATGAGTTTGGTTGTGTGGGAAAGACACGAGGTAAGCAGCATAATAAAATGCAGCAGACAATGTCCAGACTGTACAGACAAAACTGAATAAAAAAATATATGCGATAGCAGATTAAAAATCTTGCCGAGGACCGTGATTGCATTGATACTAACGTCAAAGGCTTTACCATTTAACGAGTGGATTCCTTTAAAGTTTATGTTTGTGTATCGCATTTTTTTTTTTGATATGAAAATGTTTATTTTATGAGTTAAAAATTAAACGAAGCGTGTTTTATTAAAATTTAAAAAATTAAATAAAATTGCATATTTCAACTGTAAATCAAGAGACCGAGAGAGAGAGTTTGAACATGAAACTCATATAAAATTGGTGGTCTGTGTTCATAATCAAAATTTTAATAATAACTTTTTAACATTGACTAATATGCAATAATAACAAATTACGTTCTTAAAAACATGAAAAATTTATTAATATTATTTTTACCCAGTTTTTGCTATGTTATTTGGTTTAATAAAAAGTATGGTTAAAAAATTAAAAAGTATATTTAAAACAAAAAAAAAACAAACACAAGCAAAATTAAGGAAACCAAAAGACAGTAGCAGCTTGAGTTGGTCTGCCCGAGCTGCATGACGAAATTCTGCTAAAACGTTCCATGTGGCGCTGACCGAAAAGGCGGTACATGCAACAAAAATTTCACAAAATATTGGCAAAAAAAACTGTTGAAGTGTTGATTTTTGGTAGTGGAACTGAACGAAAAAATTTTTGCTTAAATGATTGATTTATGAATCCTACTACGAAGTCATGTGTGCTTTGCCTTATTAATTTACTTCATGCAGCACTTCCATGTACCTACTTGCTGACAACGTCGGAACGCCGGTGACAGGTTCATGTTTATGCTGGAAAGTACACGTAAACCTGCAAGAGGTACTTTACATATATGAAGAAAAGTAATGAGTAGAATTTTAAATGGCTTTAAAAGAGATTCGGTTCTCAAATATGTTTCAAAATAAAAACAAAATCTATAAAAATTCTGCTGAAAACAATTTTACTTCTTATATACAAAATCTTAGTATTAAGTTGATAATTCTTGTATGATTATCACAAACCTAACTTGTATCTATTACTCAATATAATATCCATATTCAGAAACTGATAGTAAAGGCATCTTATCACTTGCGAGAGTTCAAATTTTATATAAATATATTTTTTGCATTTTTCCATTAGGGACTGTTGTGAAGCCTAACATTATTTAAAGTTTTCCACGAAACATATCACAGTGCTAAATCCGTTTCAGATAAAATGGTAATCTAAATGCTCAATCCACCTATATTATATTTTTCGATATATGGAAAAGTAAGAAATAATAATAAATAACTCCAAAATCATATCACGGAATCTAGAACTGTAGATACACAAAACCATAATTGTACCACATATATACAATATATGATTATAGAAAAATATTCAAACGTATTATTAATGAAATGAATATATAACTTTGTCATATTAATATATATCTATATCTATATATATATATTTTTTTTTTAAGTTAAAACTAGACAGGTGTTAAACTGAAAATGGAGCCTTTTATAATGGATATTGACAGAAGTCTTGACGATATCATTACTGAAAAAAAGAAGCGTAATCGTGCCAAAAATCAACATCGTGGGCGCCAGTGCAGAAATGACTGGAAAGGTTTCCGTGGGCAGTATAAAAATCGAAAACGGCATCGGGTAATTAACTAAAAGAATTATATTTGTTATATATATTGTAAATGCATATATAAACCGAAATTTTTTTTTAATTTTAGTTCTTTATTATTTGTTTATAGTCGCCCCCATGCCCTGGTTACGTTATGGTGCACAACCTTCATCCTCAAGTGGATAGTAAAGAACTCAAAATCGTCTTTGAAGTATTTGGACCTATTGATATGTGTACTGTACATTACAACTTGTACAAGAAATCATTGGGTAATACAATTATATATATATATATATATATATATATGTAAAGTTATAAATAATTATATACAATTGTACATACAGGCATGGCACATATAATATTTAAGTTTCGTAAGCACGCGGAGAATGCCATACATCAGTACAATGGTGGAAAACACTGTGGTAATATGATGTTCCTTAAGGAACCATCCTATACAGAGAAGAGTGAGTATATTATATATATATATATTTTTTAACATTTACCAAACATTTATTTTTTATTTAAAGATGTTCTGGAATCGTATTTCTTCAGCAAACGTCGCCATGATCAGAAAATACAACTTGAACGTCAACGTGACCGAGAAGACGATAGATGGAGCAGCGATGACAACTAATAGATTCAAAAACAATTATTTAAAAATATTTCATTCTAATTGACTTAATTAATTAGAACGCATTTTGTTTCATCATGTATTTCTATACTTATAAAAAAAAACATTTTTCCTTTACAAATTAATATTCTAACATGTTAAATAAGTACGAACTATGTACTATAATAAAGTACTTTGTGTTAATTTTATATATTCTATTTTTATTAAATTTACTTAATTTTAAACTTTTTATGAAAATATTAATTCAGGTAAAACATTTCAGAGTAATGAACCTTTAAGATAACAACAGGTTAATCAATTATTTTTTAGAGGTGTTTGACTATCAAAAGTTTCGAAATTGATAAACGCTTCAACGATGTTCCAACTCTTTGAACTGAACTACTTTAAAAAATTCAATTAATATCAGCTTTTTGTTTCAGAAAGTTTATACTCCGATCTTAATTGAATTTAAATAGGGGGAAAAAAAATTATTAATCAGTTTATATATAAATATTTTTAGGAACACATGTCGTCCAATGAAATAAATTATTAAAAATAATATTAACTGTAAGTTAGTCAGTGATGCTTTCAGGATTACTTTTCAAAGCATTTGTATCATATAGGTATATAATTTATCAAGATTCTTAGATATATATTTTAAAATTGGGCGATATTTTTATTGGAATGATAATAATATTTTCAATTCTAAAATAAAACTCAAAAATTTTAACATTCATCCATTTTAAAAGTAATAATTGAATGTTTTGTCGTATTGAACCTTGAACTTGTAAAAGTTTGTCATATTTAAGATTATAATTTAATTTAATTACTATTTACTAGTGCTTCCCATGAAATTCTGCTAGTTTAATTTTTAGTTATATTTTATAGGTAATTAAAAAGAATTTTCTTCAGCCAATTAAAATTTATTGCTGCTGCCACCATATTTAAGACAAAACAATTTTATTTTCATGTTTTTTGGTACTCAGCCCTATTAATTTCATTTAATAACTTCTAACATAAAAAATGGTAAAATTCCTAGACTATAATTATACCTTGAACTTTTCATTCACAGTTCTTCCTTCTAACACTCTACCTTCACTGAATAATAAGTAGTTTCACACTTTGATGGAACTTGTAACTATTATTAATGGAAGGAATTATGTACTGATTGTTCTTATATGATTTTTAAGATTAAATTGTAAAATAAATTTCAATACATAGAAAATATAATACTTCTAAGTCTAAATCTCAAGAAATCCTAATATAGGTATGGTAATTTGTAGTAATTTTTATGGCAGCTGTTGGTGAACTAAATTCAACGGATTAATAAGTCTCGCTCTACACTGATAACTTAAACTAGTTGAATGTGTTTTAAAAAAAGAAACACAATCTATTTTTATTTTTATTATTTATTATTTTACTATTTTAATTATTTTATTTTATTTTTATATATATTCTTTTTCATTTATAAATTATTTTTTTTAGTTTGAAATTATTTTTTTTTATTATTAAATTATTTTTTATATATGTTTTTTATACATATTTTATATATATATTTTTTATATATATTTTTTATATATATATTTTTTTTTTATAGAGAATGTTGAAGTCAGTGTACTGACTTTAGAAAGCACAACGCGACTTATTGATTCTATACACTCCATCTGTTGGCTTTGTCCTTCGGAAATTCTCCGTGGAACAGTTACATATTTAATGCCTTTCGATATCTTTCAAGAACAGCTGATTTTTAAACTTGCTTAGTCGGTGTAAACGCTAGATTTCATTAAGACACCATAAACGAGCTAAACCTGGTTTAATATATTAAGAGAGAAATAGCCAACTCTCAAAACCTTAAAGTTCGTTAGTTATGTATTAGTTGGATTTGTTTTTAATATATATATAAAGTACATATATACTAAAAAACATGCAAATAATATATAGTACAACAGTTGATTTTTAAACTCGTTTAGTCGGTATCAAGGCCACGTTTCATTTAAACACGTTACAGGAGTTGAAACTGGTTTAATGTGTTGGAACAGACATCGCCAGGTCTCAGATGCTTTAACGTTCGTTAAAAATTATTTATTCAAATATACATATATACTATATATATCTTTTATAATTATATCTATAAATATATCTTTTATATATATAGACCTATATATATCTTTTTAAAAACAGAAAGTTAAGTCAATAAAAATTAATTAATATATAAGGGTGGGTGGATATATAAAGGGTGGATATCCCTTACACAAGTAGGGTGCCATAAATTTAACATTGAACTATAAAAACTTATATATTTTTGTTTTTTTTTTCTAGGTTTGTCTTATTTTCTTATTCAAATTACGAAGTAAAAGTTTTAAAACTAAAAGTAATTATTGTTGTTATTGTCTTCTTCCCCATAACTGCAATTGTTACTATAGTTCTACGTAAGTCAAAAGTTTTGATTTTGTTTTTGTGCTGTAATTTAAGCACGTAATTTAATGTCTACAATTAAAAGTACAAAGTTTAAACCCCTAATAGTATGCAACGATTATTGGTTAACAATTCCAGCAGTAAATAAGTTATAGTGAAAGGAGTTCATTGTAAATGGATATCCTCAAAGTGATTTATAACAAATTTTAAGGTTTTACCAGTACCCATTCTCCACGTCTACATGCACTTCTTTTCATTCCATTTCAATTCTTCTCCTTCTAGGCTTTTATTTTATTTTTATTTTGTTGGATTTTTAAAATTTAATCACAAAAATGTTTTTAAAATTTTTAAAAGCCAAAAATTTTGTCATATTTGATACATTAAAACACTTATACATATATATTTATCTTAATTTTGTAAGGCAATAATACATCAAATTAGGCAGCAGCTTGCACAAATAAATTTGCCAGATAATAAAAACCAAACCGCGCAAATTAAATAAATTATAATGGACATTGCAAAAACCTAATGAAGCTACCATAAAACATAATTCATCTGATTGCTGAAGAACGGCACAAACTGCACCGCCAACTCTGACTCCAATAAAACAAATGTTCATATATAAAAATTCTTTCCAAAAAAAATTTAAGGACATTATTTGTTGCGTATACAGAAAAACAGAAAATATACGCGACAAATTATAACGAGGAATGATTTCATTTTCGAATATTGCAGTTAGCTGTAAAGAATATGGACGCTAATAAAACCAACAACAACAACAAGAACAACAAAGAGTACAGGAAGAACCAGTATGAGCTTCAAAACTGTGTACCAATAAAAAATACCGAACCAAACCAAACCAAACATTTTGCACAATTTGTGCCTCATTGGTCTCAATAACAATATTTCATTTCGCAATGGGTGAAAAGCACATTATTTCTTCTTCCAAAGCCAGAACTTATGCCAAGACGCATTACCACTACTTCTGCCAAACAACCAGACATACCCACATATGCCGTTTACCCGCACTCTCTGTGTCTCTCTGAGGAGATGAGTGTGTTGCCGCTGTAATTGATGTTACCGAATGCCACTAAATTATCAATTGAACATAAATTTCCTCATTACGCGCATAATGCGCACCTTTGCTTGCAGTCCCCAGGAGCGGCCACTGCCAGGATGTTTCAACAAACTTCATATTTGTCTTTAAAACTAGTTATCTCTCTTTTATGAATCTTCTTCTGCAGTTCCAGTACTACTTTAAAAATATTATTATCCCCAATGCTATACGTTGTTTATGATAGTGCATCTTAGTAGATTTGGTGTCCAATGTGCACTGGCTGCTGGCATTAATGTCTGCATTAGTGCATCATTTGCCATTTCTCTGCTCAACAGCAAATAGTTTGCTGAGGAGGAAAATTATTTGCGGATAGTAAATTTTGAGTTATATTTGGGAATTACAAGATTTACAAATTTTTGAAAATAAAAAAAAAAGAATATAGATGAAAACAATGCTTCAAATGTATTCAAATAAAAGCAAGAGATATATATTTAGAATTCTATAATCGTGTCTTGAAAAAGGGGCGGGCAATGCAATGGGTTAGTATTTAATGTAAATAAATAAATTGATCATAAAAACTTAAATTTTTCAAACTAATTGTTTAATATTAAAATTAATTTAATTTAATTAATTTTTAATTATTTGTACTCGATGATTATTCAATTAAATATTAATTAGGTTCTATACGCCAGAAAGAATATAAAACTGTACTATTAATAATGCCTCTACAAAAGAACAATATTGAAATTTAACAACATAAAAATATAATTAATTAATTCAACAATTCTACAGCTAGTCTATGATTTTGTTCTAATCTAACACAGTAAATAAATTTATTAATGAACTCTCACAGCAAATTAACTGGATCCCTAGTTTGAACATATAAGTCAAGTACTTAAGTTAAGTCAAGTACTAATTTTGGGTTTCAAATTTGGCTGGGTAAGAGTTCAATTTTTGGTACTTGCAGTCTAAAAATCGAAGGACGAAAAAGGTCCCAAATCGTTTCGTGGTCTACTTCAGCTAATCCTTCATTTCAGTGGGACCACTTGTTGGATGGTGCGCTGTACCAATACACAATATTTATATGCGGTCTCAAAAAACTATATCCGAATAATTAAATATAATAACTATGACAATAGGAGATACGAGGATTGTATGGATTTATCAAAAGAAAAAGTTAGAATCATCACAGGATATTGTGAAATAGAACAGCACCTTACGAGGCTAAACATATATACGGATGCAAACTGTACAGAATCTATAGAGAATGAAGAGTCAGCCGCACATGTGCTGTAATGTATATCCTTATTGAAGAGACAACAAAACTCTATAAAGTATGTTTTATAATCCTTTTTATTGACGCAATAAGGCTTAGAGATATACTCTGAACCCAGAAGGGGACACAATAGACATGAAGGCGCAGAGCCACATCCACATCAAATACAAGAAGTAATTCCAAGAGCACTGATGATGGGTATTTGGCAATATTCTAAACAGCTGTATGTTAACTAAAAATAACATACAAAAACTCAGTTAACTAAAAATAAAGTTTTGCTGTTGCAATCCATTATTATTTGAAATCTTTCTATTGAATACAATAGTTTTTATTAAGTAAGTTAGAGACATACTCTGATCCCAGAAGGGCACCCGACAAACGCAGTGCCACATCCCCTCTTAATAATCAAATATAAAAAAT